GATATGGGGACAGAGGGACGGAGGGACACATGGATATGGGGACTATATGGATATGGGGACATGGATATGGGGACATAGATGGATATGGGGACATGGATATGGGAACATACGGATATGGGGACATATGGATATGGGGACATATGGATATGGGGACATAGATGCATATGGGGACATAGATGCATATGGGGACATAGATGGATATAGGGACATGGATATGGGGACATAGATGGATATAGGGACATGGATATGGGGACATACGGATATGGGGACATACGGATATGGGGACATATGGATATGGGGACATAGATGCATATGGGGACATAGATGCATATGGGGACATAGATGCATATGGGGACATGGATATGGGGACATAGATGGATATGGGACATGGATATGGGGACATGGATGGATATGGGGACATAGATATGGGGACATATATGGATATGGGGACAGAGGGATGGGGGACACATGGATATGGGGACGTGGATACGGTGACATTATGGATATGGGGACATAGATGGATATGGGGACAGAGGGATGGGGGGACACACGGATATGGGGACATATGGATTTGAGGGTATAGGGACACATGGATATGGGGACATGGATAGGGGGACATAGATGGATATGGGGGCACATGCATATGGGGACACAGGGATATAGGGACAGAGGGACATGGGGACACACAGATACACAGGGACATAAAGACATGGGGGTATGGGGACACAGGGACATATGGACAGAGGGACATGGGGATAGAAGGACATGAAGGTGTGGGGACACGTGGACATATGGACAGAGGGACATGGGGACTCACAGACATGGGGACACATGGATATGGGGACACACGGACATAGGGGTATGGGGACAGAGGGACATGGGGACACACAGACACGGGACATGGGGACACATCAGGGTATGGGGATATGGGGACAGAGGGACATGGGGCCATCAGGTCACATAGGGACAGATGAATATGGGGACATACGGACATGGGGATAGATGGACACGGGACAGACGGACATGGGGACAAATGGATATGGGGACAGACGGACATGGGGCCATCAGGTCACATAGGGACACATAGACATGGGGACATACAGATATGGGGACAGATGGACATGGGGACAGATGGAGATGGGGACAGACAGACAGGGGGGACAGACGGACATGGAGCCATCAAGCCACATAGGGACACACAGACATGGGGACAAATGGACATGGGGACAGATGAATATGGGGACAGATGGACATGGGGACAGATGGACATGGGGGACAGACGGACATGGAGCCATCAGGTCACATAGGGACACACAGACATGGGGACAAACGGACATGGGGACATACAGATATGGGGACAGATGGACACGGGGACAGACGGATATTGGGCCATCAGGTGACACAGGGACAGACGGACATGGGGACAGACAGACATTGGGGACAGACGGACATGGAGCCATCAGATCACATAGGGACACACAGACATGGGGACAAATGGACATGGGGACATACAGATATGGGGACAGACGGACATGGGGACAAACGGACATGGGGACAGACAGACATGGGGGACAGACGGACATGGAGCCATCAAGCCACATAGGGACACACAGACATGGGGACAGATGGACACGGGGACAGACGGATATTGGGCCATCAGGTGACACAGGGACAGACGGACATGGGGACAGACGGATACAGGGACAGATGGACATAGGGACAGATGGACATGGAGGACAGATGGACACGGGGCCATCAGGTCACACAGGGACAGACGGACATGGGGACAAATGGACACGGGGACACACAGATATGGGGACACACGGACATGGGGACACAGAGACAGGGATCCGGGGACACATTTTGTCCCCGTGGTTCCCGACAGCCTCCCATTTTGGGGTAAAAAAGCCACATTTTGGGGTTGTTTTTTTTTGCAGCGCGCATCGCCGGCTCAGAGCAGCAGCGGGGGGGAGGGGGGCGGGGCGAGGCGCGGGGGAGCGGAAGTGCGTCACGGGCACTTCCGGTGAGCGGAGCGCTTCAAGATGGCGGCGCTGGTGTTGAGGTGACTCCGTGCGGGCGGGGCCTCCCGTGTCCCCCTATTTCCGCGTCCCTTCTTTTTGTGTCCCCACCTCCCGTTTCCGTTCGATTCCGGAGCTGTGAGGTTTTCGCTCCGAGGCTGTGATCCCGTCGGGTGCGGCTCCTCCGGGCTGCTTTGCGCTGTAGTGACCGCCTCGGGCCTGCTGGGGGGAGGGGGGACACAACACGGAGCTACGTGAGGGCACAGCGCTGTCAGACAGCGGCCTAAAGAGGCTGCGGGGGTGGGGAGGGGTCTATAGGGCAAAAGCTCGGGGCTGGAGGGGCTGTGGGCCTTCAGAGGGGGGTAAGGGGAGGGGGGGAGTGAAGGGAGAGCCGATGGCTGCATGGTGGTACAAGGGGAGGAGGGAAAACTTTGCTCCAAAAGGTGAATTTCTGCACCCAGAGGCTGTTTCGTGTAATGGGGGAGCAAAAGCAGCGGTGTGGTTCTAAATGAGTCTTATGAGGAGCGGCTGAGGGAGCTGGGATTGTTTAGTCTGGATAAGAGGAGGCTTAGAGGAGACCTTATTGCACTCTATAACTACGTGAAGGGAATGGGGACACCGTGAGGACCCCAGTGGGACATAGAGGACCCCAATGGGACATGGAGGACCTGGAGTCTAGAGAAGAAGAGGCTCAGAGGAGACCTCGTTGTAGTCTATAACTTCCTGAGGGGAGGTTGTGATGGGGAAGGGTTTGGCCTCTTCTCCCAGGTAACAAACAGGAGCTGAGGAAATGGCCACGAGTTGTACCAGAGGAGGTTTAGGTTAGACACAAGGAAAATCTTTTTGTCTCAGAGAGTGGTCAGGTGCTGGAATGGCTGCCCAGGGAGGTGGTGGAGTCCCTGGCAGTGTTGAAGAGGCTGGATGAGGAGCTACAAGTTATGGTTTAGTGCTTGTGGTAGCAATGGTGGTGGGAGGACAGTTGGACTAGATGATCTTGCAGGTCATTTCCAACCTTGTGATTCTGTGATTCTAAGAGCAGAGCAGCTTTCTGTGGTCAGCACTGCTTGTGGATCAGCAGCACAGAGCCCAGGATGGAGAGCAGAGATGTGTGACCAAAGTTCTGCAGCCCGTGCTGTTTCTGCACGTGGATTTAAAATGGGAGCATTGCTGCCATCCAGCACTGAGCTGTCGGAGCTCAGGGAGCATTTGGGGTCCTGCTGTCACACAATGGGTTTTACTTTGAGCTCAGAAGATCCTTTTTCCTCTTCTTCTTCCCCCAGCAGAAAGTTTTGTACCCCTCCTTCCTTCCTGCCTCCCCTTATGGATGTTCTGCTCTTTGATATCAGCACCAAAGCAATGTTTGGGGTTCCATTCTGTTAATTTATTCCCTTTGTGGCAACGTGGAGCTTTTTGTTCCCTGTGCCCGTTGCTTTAAAGGCAGAACTCTGCTGTGTGATCACAGTGGGGCTCAGGAAACAACGCAAAAGCAGAGCTGTGGTTTGAAAGCTGCAGCTGATGGCTTCACCTGCTGTCTATTCCTGCCTGCATGATGAAAGGCTGTTTGGTCTGCTTTTAGGAAACGTGCTCATCTGTGATATGGAATCAAATGTGAGCTGATGGGTGGGGAGCTGGTGAGGAAAGAACAGCTTAAAGCATGAGGGATAATGGAGAGGACTTGATGCTGGTGGGTTGCTTTGCTGCAGGGCTGTGCTTTGCAATCAGGCTTCGTTTGATTGCAGGGAGATTTGCATCAGAAGGGATCTGAAAAGTGTGCTGGGGGGGGTTCAGAGTTGGGGGGGGGAAGTGCAGTGCTGTGGGGTTTGTTCTGGGTTGGAATCTTGTGTGTGATTCTGTCCTCCTCTCAGCAGCTTCTGCATGAGGGGAGATGTGGGGTGGGGAAAGAGAATCGAGGGTGGGAATAACTGGGGGGCCTGCAGGCAGAGATTCCAGCTCAGCTCTCCTGTAATTGTGGGGCTCAGAGTGAGCAGAGCCAGCCCCACAGAAACACAAAGGCTTCGTTATTCCCATGGTGGATGAGTAGAGGTGGTGGAAATATGGAAGCAAGCAGCTTTTCAATCAGCAACAAAGGTGGGAGTGCAGTGAGATGAGCTCAGGTTGGGCTCAGAGAGCTGGGATTTGGGTTTGGGGGGGGGAAATCCATGCTGCCCAGTGTTGTGTCTGCATTGGGAGGTTGTGCTGCCTTAAGGGAGGGCTTGGAAAGGAAACATCCTAAGGGTGGTTTGTTTACAGAGGAGCTGGGGGAGCTCCTGAAGATTTCTTTACAGAGGAGATGGGGCAGATTATAGAGATTTCTTTACAGTGGAGATGGAGCAGCTCATAGCAATGGAGTTTCTGTGCCCACCTGCAGCTGTTTGTGCAGCCACAGGAAGGCAAAGAGCAGCAGAGCTTCGTTTCTCCACCAATTCCAACCAACCAGTGGGAGGTGCAGGGCCAGATGTTGATGTGTTGGAGGAGATTAATCACCGTTTGTTGCCGTGCTGCAGATGAATGCTCCCAGCAGTTCTCCACGCCTCCTTCTTTGTCCTTCATGGCTGTGCTGTAGATTCCAACCCACATCTGCAAGCGTTCGAGCTGCGCCAGGCTGGGGGCTGCAGCAGCTCCTGGAGAGCTGCCCTTCAATGTCCCATCACAATCACTGCCATTGCTCTGCACAGAGCAGCTCCCACTCCTCTGGGTGCCATCAAATCCCTTTTTTTTTTTTTTTTTTTTGCCTCCTGCTCTCAGCTGAAATGCTGTGACAGCGATCTGCTGCCTCCCCAGTGCTCAAAGCTGTGATGAATGGCTGTAATGAGAGCCCTGATGGGCGTTAAGGGGAAGGGAGGAGGCTGGGGAGGTGGTGAGGTCTCCCTTGGGCACAGTGGGGTGTTTTGGGATGTGTCCCCCTCCCCGTTCATTGCTGCAGTGAGAGGGGCAGACTGCCTCATTGTGGCTGTGAGATTGGGGTGCTGTTTGTGTGTGCTGTGTAAGCAGGGTGATGCTGGGATGTCGCACAGAACCAGGTTGTGGGCTCAGTCTGGAGGCCTCAGCAAACAGCAGGGAGGTTTTGTGGGGGGGGGAAATCACAAAATCACAGCTTGGTTGGGTCAGGTGAGACCTCACAGCCCCCCTCATCCATGGGTTCGCTGCCCTTCAGCCTCTCACACTGCCCAGGGTGATCCATCACCAGACTCAGAGCCACATCCTCTCACATACAGCCTGATTTTAGGACTCCAAGCACTCCAGAGGTGCATTTTTGACCCCACAACATCAACATTTCCTGCATTTCTTTGGCACTGACAGCTTCTCCCTCTCCTCTCTTACAGATGCGTCGCTCGGCGCTGCCTCCTGGCCCGGCTCAGCCCCGGCCCCTCCATGCACCAGTGAGTGTGGGGCTCTGTAGGAAGCAATGGGATTCACTTTTCCCTATGGGATCCCATCCTATCTGCTCCCTCATTCTGCCCCACGTGTTGGCTGGGTGATATCTTTACCCTCAGTGGGGCAGCAGTGATGCTGTCACTGCTCCACATCACAGCCCTGAGCCCTGAGGAGGGCTGGGAGCTGCAGGAAATCTCATTGCATCTCTTTGCACTGCTGGGCTGAAGGAGAAACGTTTCTTTTCTGCTCAGTTGGGCTGGGAGTGTAATTGCAGTGTAATCTCAGCACCTTAAATTACAAACTTGTTATTTGGTGCAGCGTGCCATTGCTGTGGCAGTAAGGAGCAGGCTGTTATCAGTGCTATGTGAGGTGTTATCTGATCTCCTGCCCCATGTGTGTGCTGCTGGTGGGTGATGTCTGCATTTTGGCACTGCTGAGCTGCCTGTCACCTCTTCTTTTGCAGTGTTGTCCCTATGGCCACCACAGCCAAGGAGGAGATGGCTCATTTCTGGGAGAAGAACACCAAATCCAGCCGGCCTTTGTCCCCTCACATCTCCATTTACAAGTAAGGCTTCATGTGGGAGCATCAACACGAGTCTGGGGGCCTCCCCACCCCCAATTCCTGAGGCAGGATGCTGACAGCACCCCTCCCTTGGAGCTTTCTCAGCAGATGCCCTTCCCATCTCTGTTTCATTTGCCATTCCCAGGCTGCCTCTGCACATTCCCCAGTCTCTCCCCTTTCTCTCAGTCCGGATTCCTGGGATAACTGAGTGCAGAACCCCCACCCAGCAGTGCAGAGCTGTCCAGGAACATGGAGCTGTGCCTCATCCCACAGCTTCCTGCCCACCTTTTGCCCCATTTTTGCTGACAGACTGCTTCTTTTGCAGGTGGTCGCTGCCCATGGCCATGTCCATCACACACCGCGGCACCGGCGTTGCTCTCAGCTTAGGTTTGTGCACCTTGTGGGGTTCAGAGCTGGGGCTGCTGCTGGACTTTTTCTCCCCTTGGGTCTCCAGTTGTAATTCTGTCTTCAGCCACGGGTTTCCTCCCCTTTTATCCCTCCTCTCTGGTGTTGCAGCGGCTCCAGGAAGCGATGCTGTGCTGTGTTTTAAACCCTCAAAGCCTTTGTAGCACTGCTTGCATTGTGAGATGCTGCTTTCTTCCACACTTTCCCCCCTATGAGAGGACGAACTGCTCTGCTCTGCAGCCCTTCTGTGCCTGCTCAGCACAGTGCTGACCCCACCAGGCCCTGCAGGAGGGCAGGGCTGACACCATGCAGAGCTCTGGGGATCCTCCATAGCACAGGTGGAGCATTTCAGCTTTCTGAGAGTGGGAATCCCAGTGGGGGAGAAGGAAGTGCTGGCATCAGAAGTGATAAAAATCCCCCCCTCAGTGATGGTGTGACTCAACCAGAGAACGTCTGGCTGTGAAAGGCAGCTTTATTTCTACCATGCTCTCATGGCAGCAGGATGGGGCTTCCATGGCAGCTCAGGGGGTGAGCAGAAGGAGCTGGAGTGGCTTCTGCAGGAGGGCACAGAGGGAAGGGGCTGAGAAAACACACACAGGAGTGGGGATACGTGTGTCCCTCATCCTGAGTGTGAGCAGCCAAGGGTACTGCATGCACCCAGCTTTGAGATTTCACCTTCAGGACTATAGGGGTGTACCCAGCCCTGTGGGATGAGATCCCAAAGCTGGCAGTGCTGCTGCTGCACTTTTTGCTGCCACATAAAGAAACCCATTGATGTGAAAGCAATCACTTTCCAGGCTGCTGGAGCACGGAGGCAAAATGCTTTTGTTGAGAAGAGGGGAAGTGCTCATCTCCTCTCCAGCAAAGGCTGTAATTATGGGAGGCTTTGCCTTCCTGCACTCCTCACAAAGGGGGTTGAGGAGATGAGTGCTTGCAATCAGATGCCATTGAGCACAGCAGTGGGCACTGCTGGTCTTTGAACAGCACCATCTGGAGAGAACCTCGTGGCTTCAGATTGATGAGGAGGAGCTGTAGGGGTCCTGCATGGCTGTCTGTCTGTCTATCTGTGGGTGTTGGGGAGGGGCTGCTTTCCCCCTACGTGTGGGACTGTATTGCTGCATTGTGTCCCCCACTTCAGCTGAGCCTTCAGGCTGATCCACCTGCAGTTGAGCTCACGTTGCTCTGCTTTCTGCCCTCTGTGCAGGACCCCCATCCCATGCCTTGCTGCCCCACGTGGAGCCCCCCACAGCCCATGGGGTGCTGCAGGACAGTCCTCCTCCCTCTGTTTGCCTCCAAACCTGACCTGGGGCTGCTGGATCCCACATAACCATCACATTCTGTCCCTACAGGTGTTTCTCTCTTCAGCCTGGCTGCTCTGCTGCTCCCAGAGCAGTTCCCTCACTACATGGCCATGGTAAAATCACTCAGCCTTGGCCCTGCTCTCATCTACTCTGCTAAATTCGCCCTGGTTTTTCCCCTCTCCTACCACACTTGGAATGGAATCCGGCACCTGGTGAGTGAGCTTTGTGTGTTTGTATGTAGAGGACGCTGTGCTGGGTGTGGAATCTGGGAAAGGTGCCCTTGGGAAGAGGAATTAATCTCCTCAGAGCTATTTTTGGGTGTGTTTAAGCCGCAAAGAGCAGCTCTATGCTGATGCTTTGTGGAGCAGTGTGGTTATCCAGGGCATCCCCTGCTCTGTGTCTCCTCCATGGGGCACGGATGAGCCCTGCAGAGCAACCACCCCTTGCTTCTCATCCCTTCCTCTGCTGTGTTGTGATTTCCAATGCTCTGTGCTAATGAATGAGCCTGGAAGATGCTTTGCAGGGCCTCTGGAGATGGTGATGTGTGCACAGAAAGTAACCTGGGATGTTCACCTTGGGGTGGAGGACTGGAACAGACAGCACAGCTCAGCCAAACTTCTGTGTTTGGGGAAAGAGGGAGGGCTGGGAACAGGGCAGGATGTGAAGCTTTTTGTGGCTTCTTTTTGCAGCTGCTTTGGTGTTTCTGCAGCTCCTGATAGGTTGGGTTTGATGGGAGCTGCCATCGTCTTCCTGTAGAGCTCCTGCACTTTGGGGCTGTCAGATCTGTGGTGCTTTGTAACCTATTTCCATCAGAGGGAGGGGAGGGAGCAGAGAGCAGCAGCTGCTGATGTGGAGCAATGGTGGGGATTAAGAGGAGCTCTGATTATGGGAAGGGGAGGGGGGGGGATAAGGGGGAATAAACACATCCTGGGAGACCCCAATGTAAAGGATGGAGGGAGGGGGGATGGTTTTAAACTAAAAGAGGGGAAACTTGGGTCAGATGTGAGGAGTAAATCCTTTACCTGAAGGCACAGAGCTGGGGGTGCCCCATCCCTGCAGGTCTGTGGGCAGTGTGGGGGGCACTCAACCCATGGCAGCAGTGGGGTTGGGGGGGGAGGGGGGTTGAGGCCCTTCTGAGCCAACCTTGGTGTGGTGCAGCCCCTATGAGGGACCTTTCCTTTTTCATAACTGCCTCTCTTCTCTCCCCACAGGTGTGGGATATGGGGAAGGGCTTCAAGCTCACCCAGGTGGAGCAGTCAGGGGTTCTGGTGCTGATTCTGACTCTGCTCTCCTCTGCGGGCATCGCAGCGATGTAACAC